CATTTGAGACTAGCCTTACAGGTCCTAAGAGACAAGAAATTATATGCCAAGCTTAGCAAATGTGAATTTTGGCTTTCCAGCATTTCGTTTCTGGGGCATGTGTTTAATGAAGAAAGTATTTCAGTCGATCCAAGTAAGATTGAAGCCGTTGTGAATTGGCCGACACCAACTAATGTGTCCGAGATTCGTAGTTTTCTGGGTTTGGCTGGCTATTACAGGAAGTTTGTGAAGGATTTCTCAAGGATTGTAGTACCACTGACACAACTAACTCAGAAAGGAGTGGCGTATGAATGGACCGAGGAAAGGGAATCCGCGTTTCAAGAATTAAAGACGAGGTTGGTTACAGCACCGGTACTTGTTTTACCATCAGACAAGGAAGAATTTCAGATTGATAGTGACGCTTCACATAAGGGATTGGCCTGTGTGTTAATGCAAGGAGGTAAGCTTATAGCATACGCATCTCGTCAGTTGAAACCCAATGAAAAGAATTATCCTACCCATGATTTGGAACTGGCAGCCGTGGTTTTTGCTTTAAAGATATGGCGTCATTACTTATATGGAACTTCTTGCCAAGTTTTCACAGACCACAAAAAGTCTAAAGTACTTGTTCATTCAAAAGGAGTTGAATATGAGGCAGAGAAGATGGCTTGAACTATTAAAGGACTACAACATACAGATTCAGTACCATCCAGGTAAGGCAAACTCCGTGGCCGACGCGTTAAGCAGGAAATTAGTTGGAAGTTTGGCGTGCTTGGCAACGATTTCAGTGGAGCCGACCATTATTGAGGAGGTGAAGACCAGACAGATGGAGGATAAATTCCTCAAGAAGGTAATTGATGAATTCGCCGCCAAGCCGAGGCCAGGGTACACCATTGAAAATCAAGTGCTTAAGTTTGAAGGAAGATTATGCGTGGCCGACATCCCAGGGTTGAAAAGGAAGATTTTGCAGGAAGCCCATAGCTCCAAATTTGCCGTTCATCCAGGAAGCACCAAGATGTGAAGCGGACTTTTTGGTGGCCAAATATGAAAAGAGAAATAGCCGAGTTTGTATCCCGGTGTCTATGTTGTCAACCAGTGAAAGCAGAACACCAGCGACCAGCAGGACTTCTTCAACCCTTGTCAATTCCTGAGTGGAAATGGGAACACATCTCCATGGATTTTGTGGTTGGTTTGCCGAGGATGCCAAAGGGTATGAACTCGATTTGGGTTATAGTTGACAGATTTACTAAGTCGGCACACTTTTTGCCTGTTAAGACTACATTCAATGCCGACCGACTTGCTGGATTGTATATGAATGAGATTGTTAGGCTTCATGGTGTGCCGATGTCTATTGTGTCAGACCGAGATCCGAAGTTCGTTTCTAGATTTTGGGAGAGTTTACAGGGAGCCTTGGGAACCGAGTTGAAGTTTAGCACAGCTTTTCACCCCCAGACAGATGGACAAACAGAAAGAACGATTCAGACACTCGAAGATATGCTCAGACTATGTGTGTTAAGGGAAATTGGGAAGTACATCTACCGTTAGTAGAATTCGCTTAAAACAATAGTTATCAAGCCAGCATTGGCATGGCGCCGTACGAAGCTTTGTATGGAAGGAAGTGTAGATCGCCGATATGTTGGACTGAAGTGGGAGATAAAGCTTTGATCGGTCCCGAACTAGTTCAAGTTACAACCGAGAAGATTAAGCTCATTCAACAGAGGATTAAAACTGCACAGAGCCGGCAGAAGAGTTATGCCGACCAGAGGAGGAGGGAGTTAGAATTTGAGATTGGGGATCATGTATTCTTGAAGATCCTGCCGATGACAAGGGTTTCAAGATTTGGGAAAAAAGGTAAATTAGCACCCCGATATATTGGGTCATTTGAAATTCTTGAGAAAGTTAACCCCGTTGCCTACAAACTTGCTCTGCCGCCAGAATTAAGCCAAGTTCACAACGTGTTTCATGTTTCGATGTTGAGGAAATATATCCGGGATCCACTGCATGTAATCGATTATTCTGAGATTGTGGTTAATGAAGATTTGGGCTACGAGGAAAAGCCAATGAGAATTATTGATAGACAAGAGAGACAGTTGAGAAACAAATCGATACCGATGGTAAAGATCGAATGGGAGGAGCATTATAGCAAGGAGGATACATGGGAAAAGGAAGAGGAAATAAAAATCCGTTATCCGGAGCTATTTGTAGAACAAGGTAACTTAAGTTTGGGGACCAAACTTCTCTAAGGAGGGTAGACTGTAGTGACCCTCATTTCCCACCTTAGCCTCGAGCATGAGCATTTGTATAATCTTGTTTTGCAAAGCTTGCATTAGTGAACTTTCTTGACTTGCTTATCTAGAGTAAGATTCTTGTCTTGGTTTGTGCCTATGTGGAATCTACCTGTTGAGCCTTGTTCCTTTCCTGGTGAGTCTAGCCGAGGTCACCTTAAGCCTAGAACCATCTTGAAACCACTTTGGTTGACCTCTATTTTCGTCCTGGCATATTGGCCGAGATGTCATTTTCTAGGCCGAGGTGTCTCCTCACGGCCGAGAAGTGTATCATCTAGGCCGAGATGTTACCCTTGAACCCAAGTGATCTTGTTCCTGGATTGGTGCGACCTAGACCGAGGTGTGGCACATCTAGGCCGAGGTGTGGCACAGCTAGGCCAAGTGTTGTCCTTCCTAGCCGAGATCATTGATACCTTACCTGTCAAAGCCGATGATTTCATCCAATGTCATTATCTTGCCAGAGAGCCCATGCCGTTTTACTTGTTGAACACTCTTTCGCCATGCTTTTGTCTGGTCTGTCAGCCACCTTTTTGAAGGAACCCAACCAGTCGCTGCCACGTGTCTCAGCGGGAGGTTAAGCCCAGAACCGGGAGAGAGAACCCATCATTTGGTATCATATCTTTGCCTTTTAGAGAGACAAGCTCTAGGAAGAAGAAGAAGTCTTAGAGTGAGAAAGTAGATCTTCGAGCTTGATTCCTAGAGATCAAACCGTTGGATTCGTGTATTAAGGTTAGATTCTTGACCTACTCTTGCTGTTCCTTGTGTTCATCTAGCTGCATTGCATGATCTAGCATGATTCATGAGCCATGCATTGATTTAAAGTTTGGGTTTTAAGAAAGAGAAAGTGGTATTCATGTGTTCTTGAATAAAAGCCTTATTTCATCCAAAAGCTTGCATCACGACTCATGTTTTTGTGTTTGTCTTCATACAATCTTCGAGTATGGGTACCCAGGTCCATGTTTTTAAATTCATAGCATGAAATTCCAGATTTCGTAATGACAAGTTATGATTGAGCATTCATGTGTTTCATGTTCTTCAGCAGAGGGAAACCCAGATTTTCCCGACTTCATTTCCTTGAGTGGGGCCACCGGGACCACACCTCGGCAAGGATGTGTGGGACCTCGGCAATAGCCTGGTTGGTACCCAGCATGTTTTTCCGAGATGAGAAACAGTGTTTTGTTTTGATTTGACTTAGTTTTGAAGCGATGCCGAGATCTCTTGCATCCATATAAAGCTTGTTTGTCAGTGCATTCAGTAGACCTTGCCATGTGTTTGTAGGACTTGGACACTCGCTTGACCTCGACGTTGAAGAACTAGGTAAGTGGTATCTTTAATAAAGCTATGTTATAAAGTTTTGATAAAGTTTTACCTTGTTTTGAAAAGTGTTTGATCAAGCATGAATGATTATCCCTAGTCTTTGTATCAAGTATTATCTTGTCTTGATGACAATCTTGGAAGTCCGTACGTGCTAGGGGACTATAAGCATTTGTAGCACAATCTTGAAAGTCCGCACGTGCTAAGGGACTATAAGCATTTGTAGCACAATCTTGAAAGTCCGTACGTGCTAGGGGACTATAAGCATTTGTAGCACAACATTTGCTAATGTCATTCCTTGAAACTTGAGAGACTTGAAAGCCTCGAATGATTTTGATTGATGAAGCTCGATAGAATTGTTAGATGAACTTAATCCGTCTCATGTTTGTTATAAGCTATGGTTATGTATTGCTTGGTTAAAGAACTCGGATATCATGCATGCAACCCTTTATTATTTGTACCATTCACTGAGTATCCAAGCTCACCCTCTGTATATATATGTAGGTGATGAGCAAGAAGGCGATGAGGCCTAGATGTGTTGCCGATATGTTTTGGATGTATTACCGATGTGCCTTGGATTCATATTTTTGTAGCATCTTGAAGATTATGCTTCTTAGCTTATGTTTCATTGTGTTTTGTATATGTCGGCTTGAGAAGCCTTTTGGTCTAGATGTATTTTGTATTTTATTTCCTTACGGTATCCAAGTTGTAAGACCTTGTAAACATGTTTGACATTTCATTGATGTACGCACAGCTCTTATGGACTACTTAGATTTAAATTTATTGCTTCCGCACTTTTAGGCCCCATGTATCTACTCTGATTGTATGTGAATTTCAAAAGTTGGCCTTCGGCGATCTCGGATTACTGGCCATCATGGCACCATTCTACTAGGGGCGGAATGGGGTCGTGACACATAGGGCATTTATTTTACGATTATTAATTGGTAGTACATGCTATAGATTCAGGATGATTATTAATGAATGTATACTGCATGTGTTCACCTTTTGTAATACGAACTTTGATGAATAAAAGCATAATATTTCTATTAACATTCTGTTATAAGAATTGGAATTATTGTAATAATTTGGGGGCGTTATAATAGCTAGCTTGGAGCTCGTGTATGGAAGCAGCTACAGTTGCAAAATATCTGTTCTCGGCAAACTGGCCGGCCAGCCAGCCAACGTAATGTGGCCTGCTGGTCTTTTTAGTTTTGCTGCTTTTTGAGTGGCCAGGCTAGAAAAATAGGGTTTGGTTCAAATGGGGTACAAGGTTTGGGTTTAAAGCTCAAAACTAAATTCTTTTGCTGAAGATTTGAAAGATTACACAGTATAACATTTCATGATTAAGTGTTCAGGGTGAGGTGTCTAAGTCTTAAAGGCGGTCAAAATGGGCTGTCTACAAGCACATTGTTGAGGGTGAGTTCATTTACAGATATCATCTTCGGAATTACCGTCGACTTTAGCAGTCAAGGAGTTGCCCGTGAACAATTGTTCTCCTTTGTCCACCACTGAATAAGAGGAGAACATCTTTTTGTCAGCACATATGTGACAAGTGACTCCAGCGTCCACCCACCATTCTTTGAGATTTTCGACAAGGTTGACTTCAGAGACAACGACTGAAAGGTTTATGTCATATACACCATTGGAGATTTTCTCCACTTCAGTGACATTGGCTTGAGCAGGTTTCATACTTGACTTTCCTTTACCTTTGCGCTTGCTACGACAATCTTTGGCCGGGTGTCCTTCTTTGTCACAAATGTAGCATTTGCCATTAAACTTGAATTTCTTTGTGTCCCCTTCCTTAGAGCCTTATTGTAACGCCTCGAAATAATTACAATAATTCATCCACAATATCCAATATATGACAACAACAATAATAGGGGTATCTTTCATTAAATCCAATACGATATACAAAAGAGAAACATATGTATCATACTTTCATAAAGCCTAGCCCTGAATCTATAGCATATGTTGCAAGTTAAAAGAGAGGAAGGAAGAAAAATAGATAAAGATGCTCTAAGGGCTTACATATTTCTAAGACGTGGCTTGGTTACAACAAAAGTAGACTTTAAGTCCAATACATTTAAAGCCCTTGGCTATACCAAACAAACACAACAAAAGAAACTCTTGCTCCAGATCCTTCCAAGCTAGTGCCTTGGCGGAGGCATATCATCAGCACCTGAAATGTTTTTCCCACATAGGGTGAGCCAAAGCCCAGTAAAGATAATCTAACACAATATATGAATCTTAACAAAGGTATAAGAGTGAAATGCATATACAATGGTCATGACAAAACGATTTACATTTCTTTCTCAAAATCATGTCATACTCAATTTATATCACGGTTCTTAATTCATATTCTTTACAATAGAAAACAAAGGAGATTCTCAACTGATATAACCTTACACAGATATTTCATCTGCGGGAAATCATCAAACGGCACCTATGTAAACGTAGTCTATACAAGCGCTACTATTGTCATTTTAGGGATATTTCGTCCGCGAGAACCAGCACCCATGTATACACGCATTTTTTTTCGAGACCTTCACCCAGGACACACAGGCCAACTTAATTTGGTGATACAGACCTCTTTCCATATCCACCCATTTTCATTGAAACCATATATATTTGGAATGTAATAAGTGATCAACAATTTTCAATGCACGTGGATGAGAATTTAGTTTCAATTCACCTAATCCTCATGCAATTTCTACCACAATCATAGCTATCCTTCACCGATAGCCCAAAACAAATATTTCTAAACAGATATAAAATCTCCAATATATATATACACTTTTCCAAATTTCAAGATGAGTGATAATACATATCCAACTCCACCATCCATATCAATATCCATCTAATTCCACATTTTCAACATTAATTCCATTTATTTATACAAAATAAATGTTTAAAACATTTAGGGCAAAACCCTTTTTTATTCTAAAATCCAACCCAATGGTCAAAATCAACAATTTGTTCACAACTCAACTTCATTTTCACTCCCAGAACCATTTTCCATACAACCATTTGAAAATCTCTCTTTTGATTTCAAACCAAAACGTTAGGTTTGTTCAAAATCCTCCAAAATCACAATGTTGTTTATGAAAAACAAATAACTAAGTTAAAAATCATAAAAGAGTGTAGAAAATCCCTGCCTCGAGTAAGAAGACCAAGGAGAGAGAGAAAAGAAACCTCAAGGAAGCCGAAATCCAATTCTATTCGGATAAAAACAAAGCTTTAGGTGAGCTCTACCTTTCTAAGAAAGGGAGTAGGGTGGAGAGATGATAGATCCAAGTGTTTTTGTAGAAAGAAAGTAGGTTTTAGAGAGAGAGGCTCTAGATTTATGGTTTGAAATGTTTTAGAGAAAGAGAGAGATGAAAAAGTGATGTAAAAAGTGGTTGTTACGAACTAATATACGCACAGTCCGCTCGAGCGCTAAACACAATAAGTTATTTTGCTCGAGCACAAGAAGTCTCCCTCGAGCGCAGAATGCACACTCTCAGTAGTTTTACGAACATAAGGCCAACGCTTGAGCGCAAGAAGGGCCGCTCGAGCCGAGACCGGTCGAGCGTAGAAAACACTGCTCGAGTGCAGAATACACTCTCCTAGTAGTTTTGTAAGCCTGCAAAAGTACTGAGAGTTCACAAAACCTGCTCGAGCGCAGGAAGTGACGCTCGAGCGAAGGGGTAAAATTCTGGGCAGCAAAAGTTTGAAAACCAAGCTACTAACCTGTTCCAAATGTAACCAATACAACCCATAAGCCAAACTCAAGGAGGGAAAAGACGAATAAGACAAGAGTAACAATACAAAATCATGAAATCCAAGTCTAGAATATCAAATAAGTTGGGTCTAAAACTAGAATCGCTATACTTATGATGAACTTTCTCCAGAAAATTTTCGTTTCTTTGATTTTAGTGCATGTTCCACCACATTTTCCTTATACTCTATAGGATGCTTACCAGTCTGCCTCTTAGAAATGCGGTTGTCCTCCTCAATCCTCAAACATACAATCAATTCCTCCAAAGTCATTTCTTTGTGCTTGTGTTTGAGGTAGTTTTCGAATTCCTTCCAACCTTGTGGTAATTTTTCAATTAAGGCAACAATTTGGAAGGATTCACTGAGAGACATGCCTTCTGCATAAATGTCATGCAGGATGAGTTGGAGATTCTGAACTTGGCTGATCACATTCTTTGAATTAACCATTAGAAACTCCAGAAATATGCCCACCACGAATTTCTTCGAGCCAGCATCTTTTGTTATGTACTTTTTCTTCAACGAATCCCATAATTCCTTTTCCATTTTGATGGGGCTATACACGTTGTACAGTGTCTTATCAAGCCTATTCAAGATATAGTTCCGGCAAAGGAAATCAGCATGTTTCCAAGCATTGACTGTAGCAAACACTTGTCGGTCGGTTTCATCCTCTTTTAGTACAGGAGCATCCTCACGAAGGAAACACGCCAGATTTAATGTAGTAAGATAGAACAACATTTTCTGCTGCCATATTTTAAAGTCAGTTACAAGGAACTTTTCTGGCTTTTTCCCGTGATTTACTGGGACTATCACAACAGTAGGAAGGATAGGGGTACTCGCAACACCGGCCGAATTAGAGGTCTGAGCAGTTTTAGTAGCCATGAGTTCCAAATTATAAAACAAAATTATAATTACAGTAAATTAAACCATAAAACACATAATTTAATTCTGTCAAAAATAAAAGAAACAAAATTGTAATTTTTATTTCAAATTAATTTGGAAATAACTTTTTCGTAAACAAATTAATTCCACATGGACAATTATGATCAGAAATTAATATTATGAAAAAATCAATGACAAACAGTATATTACTACTATTTGTCAAAGAAAATAAACTGTATATTACTACTATTTGTATTTTCCAACCAAAATATTACTTTGTAGAATATAAATTTTGTAAAACCAAATCCAATGTCAATAATTTAGAAAACTGATAATCAGAATTTTAATTATTGAACAAACCCAGAATTTTATTTACGAAAAAATGAAAATTTGAATTCTGAAAAAATCCACACATAAAATAAATTCTGTAAAGAATAGAGAAAAGGAAATAAACAAAAATTCTGTATAAACAGAATAATTTAAATTTGTCTTAAGATTGTTGAAACAATCTTCTGTGTAGAGAAATGAAACTGAAATAACAAAAATAAAATACTTATAGTAATATTCTTGTACTGAAAAGTTAGAATAGAAACTTTTGATCAAATAGAGTGTGTGACACTCTATTCTTTAGACAAAATTGCTACCACACAGGTGCTTACGGGTTATCGGCGCCTATCTCCTAGGATACAATGATCAGATAACGCAGATTATACAAGCACTACAAATAATCTGCCAGGTGAATCAAACCTATGTTCTGCAACTCCCTGAAATCTCTATGAACTAATATGAAGAATATAAAAAGAGTGCTTGAATTTGAGGAATTTGGAATTAATAAAATTGGAATGGGGGCTGCCTTTAAATGGGTTTTGTTGGCACCTATTCAATTTGAATGGAAAAGACATAAAGAAGGGACATGACCCTCCATTTAAAATAAAGAGACACCATGAAAGGGTTGCACCCTTTCATTCAAATAGTGGGTTGACCCTTCATTTAAAACAAAGACACACCATGAAAGGTTGCACCATTTCATTCAAATGGACTCTATTTCAATTCACCATTGCCTTTACAAATTTTCCAACAAAAAATTAGCCAGTGAATTGAAGATTTGAACTGAATTGACCTTTTTAAGTTGGTTTGATTTGGGTTTTTAGTGTATTAGTTTGGTTTTAGGTTTTTAAATCATCAAATGATAGAATTGGATTGGTTAGTCTTACCTAAATCGAATCAACTCGAGAATCGAACCTATTTATATGTATATATTTAAATTTTATTTATATTGATATATTTTCACTTTATTGCTCTATTACAATGGTCTTGAATAAACTTAATAATTTTTCATATATAAGAATTATTAGGTAAATGAAGAAATTATTAGGATCTTGAGTCAAATTCCGTAGTTGATTTAACTTGTGTTGGCTGTATTAATGGGTTTAATTTATTGATTATGTTTAAGTTTGAGTTGGATTTGATTTGTATTGATTTGTATTAAACAATATTTTGTTCTTTGTTTGTGTTATGTTTAAATGTTAAAGATTTTTTATTTTAATTATTGGGTAAATTACACTAACACCCCTGAGGTTTGGTCCGATTACAACTCACCCTTTGACGTTCTAAAAATTACATTCCCACCTCTGCGGTTAAAAGTCTCATTTCACAAATCTCCCCTACTTGTATAGAAGGCAACAACTCCTGGTAGAAAAACAGAGAAAATTACATTGAAAAAAAAAAAAAAAAGCAGAAACAAAGGAAAAGAAGAAGAAAAATAGAGGAAGTAAAGCAAAGCAAGAAAGAGAAAGTGCATGAGTTTAATGTCTTCATTACATCTAAATAATGACAATGATAGGGGGTTCAGTGTAATTTCCCAACCGTAGGGGGTGATATGTATTAAACCAAACCTCAGGGGTAAGTGTAATTTACCCTTAATTATTTATGATTGATTGATTTGCTTATTTTTAAAATAGAGGAATCGTGATTCCAACCCGAACCAATCCAAGCTACATTGGGTTGGGTTGGGTTGGGTTGATTCTAGTGCATAATTGGTTTGATTCTGGATCCAAAAAATTAGAATCGATCATGATTGGGTTTATTCCAAATTTAGTGTCAAACCGAACCAAACCAACCCATGAACACCTCTACAGCATATCGCGCAACAAAAAAAACTATAACTCTTTTACAATCTGTTGAATTCGAAGTTACCAGAAATATAGGAACAAAAATAGAATTCTATTCAACAAAGTATATATAATATATCAAAAGTTAATTTGCTTATAACCTTATTTATAATAAAAAATAATTCCTAAATCAACTACCACTAAAAAGAAAATAAAATATTAAGAAATAAAAATAAATAAATTTACCAACAATGTACAATATGTTTAAGAAAATAAATTCACACTTTCTTTGACAATGTAATTGAGAAGTAACCCCCCAAAAAAATGTAAAAGATGTTTAAAAAAATTAAATCAAAACAGAATTTTTTTAGGAGCTAAAAAATCAGAAAAAAAAATGCTTGGATACAAATGTAGCTTAAACCCTCACATAAATTAAAAAAGATAATAAAATTTACAAGTGAAAATGAATATGAAATTCATACTTTGATCACCTAAACCATTAAAAAGCCACATAGAGAGAGAGAGAGAGAGAGAGAGGAGACTTGAGAATTTCAGAGTCCTCTTTCACTGACTCGAAAGGCAGTGAAATTTGATGACACAACGTGTTCTAGATGGAACGGGTCGGATTGATCTACGCTTCCCAAACCAGTGTCCGAATGTCCTAGCCCACAGAGAAACCTGCACAAGAGTTCAACGGGGAACGGGGAGTCCCCCAGCGAACCCTCCGACGAGCAAGTTAGAAAGAGAGGTGGAATGTAGAGATAGATTACAGATAGAAAGCTTAACTTTCTTCTTATCTTCGACGTCTGCTTATATCCTCTGGTAATCATTTCGTTGTCCCTTCCGACCTGTCATCTTGGCCGAAAGTTTATGCTCTAGCTTGCCTTGTTCATGGTGAGGCCATTCTGTCTCGACGGGGAGGGGTTATCGCAATAAATGCTATAAGGGGCTTCATTAATGGCTGATGTGCAGTGCAATAACTTTGCGGGATCTTTGTCTGCTTATGTGGCTTGTCCTTCACTTGCCACGTGTCTAGGTGTTATTGGTTCTTAATGCGATGTTGAACTCCAGTAATGTTGGGCTTTAGTATTTGAATTATGCATTGGGCCCTAAGTGGTAGGCTATACCCTTTATGGGCTTACACGTGGCAGTGCGCTCGATGAAGAGTTTTACAGAGGTTGAACTGCTGAGGGGGCTTTGCTCGGCCCAGATGGAGGCGACGACCTTAGTAGGAGCCTTGCTGAACAAAGCGGTGTACGCGAAAGGCGAAGTGAATCCATTGAAGGCCAAGCTGGGGGAGGTGAAGGCCCAGCTTGAAAATTTGAGGCGGGAGAACCGGGGGTGGAGGAAAGCCGCGCGAAGTGCGTGTGTTAGGGCGCTGGAAGAGGCCCAGAAAGCCAAGAAGATGGAGGTGTTGGTGACGGTGCAGGGTATTCAACCGACCGTGCCAACGCTGAGCTGCTCGCCACTAAGTTAGAGCTGGAGACGGAATGCCGCAAGGTGGTGTCACTCGAGTTCCAACTGGCTGGCGAGCAGAAGAAGTTGGAAGACGCCCAGAAAGCCTACACCGTCGCCAACAAAAAGTGGGATGAGGCCATGGTTTGCAACGAAGACCTGCGCGCTCAGTCGATCAAAGAAAAAGAAGAAGCAGATCTGAAGATCGCTAAGTTGGAGAGGGTGCTGGCGGACGAGCTAGCTAGGTCAGTGGTTGAGAAGGCAGGGTTGGAGAAGGCCTTGGAGGAGGAAAAGGCAAGTTGGCATCTAAGAGGGCGGCGTACCCCGATCTGTGTGTTGCAGCAGTAGAGCAGTTCAAGGGGTCCGCCGACTTCCAGATGGCCATTGATGCTGCGATCTAGAGCTTCCAGTGGTTGGACTTCTACAAGCATGAGATGGCTGAGTTCTGGGACAGCGGCTGAAAGACTTTCAGACGCAAAGCAGAAGAGCTATTCCTAGACTTGGACTTCAGCATTGTAAGAATAGATGACGACGACGTGGCCCAGACCCCCCTTGATGAGGGGGTGGATGAAAAAGACTTGGTCTCGAGCGAGGAGGAGTGATTGATTGTAAAGAAAATTTGTAAACAAAATTTTTGTTTTATTTATTTGTTTGTTTTTTGTTGTGTAATTTCTGTGGTGAACTCATGTGTAAGTTTGTAAATAAATAAAATTATGAGAATGAGAATTTGTATATTTTTCTTTTTTATGTTGTTGTCTTATTTCTTGTAGATCTGAAAAGAACTAGAATGGTCACTCAAATAAGGCTTGTGTATAAATCATAGTAAAGGTTAAGAAGTAGGGAGCCAGTCTAACTTGCGAGAAAACCACAACGCTAAGTGAAGTTTAAAATGTGAGAATGTTAAAAAATGTGAAGTTTCAAATCACGACCCAGTAGGGAGCCTGTCTAGCTTGTAAAACGTTGAATTGTAAAGGTCCTAGAATGTGAAGTTTTAAATCATGTTGTGAAAGTGTTGATAAATGAAAGGTTGGGTTGGGAAATGAAAGTTAAAAAATGTAAAGAACGTTAAGAGGCGTAAAAGCATGGACCTGGAATTTGACTAAGTATGGCAACTATGCCACAATCATGAAGTTGCAAGAATGGGCATTGGCCGAGCTCTTCATTCGTGCTCAGTTTGGCTTGAGCAATAATTAACTCAGTCTGGCTGACTCTTCAAGTAACTTGGTCTGGCTGAGCTCTTCATGCTCAGTTTGGCTGAGGCTTTAAGTTACTCAGTCTGGCTGAGCCCTTCGTGCTCAGTCTGGCTGAGGCTTTAAGTAACTCAGTCTGGTTGAGACTGTAAGCAACTCAGTCTGGCTGAGCCCTTCGTGCTTAGTCTGGCTAAGGCTTTAAGTAAGGTGTTATTGAAATACCACACAAATAACTGAGATATAA